ATACCATATCACAGACATACGCCGGCCAACTCCGAGCTGAGGTGAAGTTGGAAGAGATCGAGATGCAGATGTACAGACAACATTGTGAGTTCATTGACCAGGCCTTTGGACTCTGTTGATATCCTGGACATGACTGGACACGTTTTGAGGTCAATCACTACATATAATGATGACTCACTGTTTACCTACCCCTTCTACATGTGTGTCAACAACAAGGGCAACCTACTCGTGTCTGACAAGGGGATCACGTCTGTGACATGTCTGACGTCAGAGGGGGATGTTGTGTGGAGATACGCCCCTGTCGAAGACGGAGAACTCACCTTCCCTTGTGGTATCACAACTACCAGCAGAGGAGACATCCTGCTTGTCGACAGGCACGCTCACAAGGTGATACAACTGACAGAGTCAGGGGATTATATCAGGGAGCTGCTCACCATAGAACGTGATGATGAGACAAGCATGTGCGATGTATACTGTGATAAATGCGGTTTCCTATTTCTATGCAAGGACACGGAAGTGAAAGAGTACATGTTTGTCTGATATAGAAAACAAAAGAATGAAAGTACGTGCAGATCTGTGGTTTAAGCGTTTGTCACTGACGGTTCGTTATATACTGTGCATGTGGTTAGTCTGGAAATGTTTGTGTGTTCACCAACTGTATGAGCATTGCTTTGTCAGTGAATTGTACACATGCAGTAATCAAATAGGTCATTTCCAGAATGAAGTGAAATCGTCCACATGATCACCAGGTGAAAGACTTCAGTGGATATAGCTATTGGGAGAGTCCTAGGATGACCTGAGCTACACAACAATTACTAATCTCAACAGTGTGCTGAACCTGGCACTACCTGACGTATAAACGTCCTGGGCACAGCTTAAATGTAAAGAAATCCCCAAAGGAAATATACCTCTCCATTTAAAGTATGCATGAAACCAAGCAGGCATGTAGACTAATATATGGATGGACCAGGACAAGGTCAGCCTTCCTGCTACCTGAAGTATAAACGTCCTGGGCAAAGGAAACCCCAAAGATTGGTCAATTTTACAGTTTCTTCCTCTCAGAGTATTCAGTATCGATACACGTGATCTTTTTAGGATCTGAGGATATAGTTTATATTGTCCAGTACAGACATACCATATACAATTATATGTCATTTCTAGCAATTAAATGGAGTATGATGACTGGGTGAAACACCTCAGTGTTGACAGTGGTTATAGAGAGTGCTGACAGTGGTTATAGATATACTTAGACGGAGGACAATGTAATCTTAACATAGAAGGTGAATGGACACCGATCCAGCTGCAGTAGGCTGTCTCAAAGCCATTATTTCCCCGATTGCTTAGCGCCATCTGCAAGCCGAAACCCTAAATGACGCAAGTCTAGATTTCCTCACGTTCTTTTTCGGGCTCTTTTTCAATTTAATTGTGATTATTTGTAGCTATCAAAATTATGGATATTCAGAGACAAAGCGTTATTATACCATCTGATACATATAACTCCAATTAAAATGAAAAGGAACTTCATCTAGATCATTTCTTGCATTACATTGTGTTAGTGTAAATACGGTAATTCGGTGCTGCTGTGCACAAAATGTGAAGGTAAATGCAAGGGTACGTGGGAAGTCTCTTTTTTTTCTTTTCTTTTCGTAATTTAAATTTTATTTCTGAAACCCTGTTACACTCAAGACTCAGTCAGAAGATATGCAGCAATCTAATGGGATACAGGTGTAAGTTTTTACGAAACAAGACAAACCATCCACTCACCATTCACACAAACACAAGATTATTTCTGATTATCAAACAAATTAATTAAGAATATAATGAATTCAGTCGTCTTTGAATAAGCCATGATACAAGAGCCATTTAGAATAAAATTCGGTGTTACAGCTTTTGTAACAGAAAATACATTTTTCAATACTTTATCTCAATCTCAACTTACTTCTGAACTGAGCAATATTTGGTGAAGCAGAATTAAGCGTGCATTTGTACATTTAATAGTTTCGAAATAATATGAGCAAGTCAAAAACAGAGTCAGTAAAACATTTTTCTTACAGCCAAATGTGTCAGTTCCAGAGTGAGTTTGAGATTATGGATGTGATCACAACCTTCTGTTAACCATGATAAAAAAATTACCAAAAGGTTTGCACAAATTCACATTCCCATAACAAGTGACAAATAGATTCCTTTTCTTCATTACAGAATGAACATAAATCAGAATCTTTTATTGTAATTATTTAAGAAATGTATTGGTAGTTAAAATTCTATGGAGTATCCTGATACATTTCATTACCATCAACCAATGACAAATAAATGCCATGTTCATCAACAAGATCACAAATTTGAGAGATACCCCTTTGAAACCACCCTTCATAAAAACATGTTTTCTTATTTCTTGACGTAGAGCCGGACTAGACAAAACGGTTACATTCATGATCCAAATAGGGCGATGGAGCTGCTTGAATTGTCATTGTTCAACCACGGGCTGTGATCGTTATGCACGTGCATTACAACTTGAACTGTGTAAAAGGTATGTTTATATGGAAAAAGTATTACTATATGCTGATTTCTGTGAAACATAGCAAGAGTTTCAGATTCATCGTGCATGCTGCATTTCAACTTTATGCTTGACATTGTGTAGGAACATTACAGTTGCAAACAGGAAAGCTGCAGCATCTAGTTTAGATTGCATACCTCGGGAGGTGATATCATGAACTCAACTTCTATTTGAAGTATCTACTTATTTGCTAGCATCATCAAAAACATCATCATCACCTTTTCCAAAAATAAAGGCAAATCAGTATAACTAAAACATGCTGGAGAATTTACAAACGTAATGTTTGACACTGAATATGCTCATCGTGGACTGATTTATGTCGTACACAACACATATTATCAACATGAAACATCCGGTAAGAAAAGGCTATGAAAAGACTGACTGACTGAGTTCGGTTTTACGCAGCTTTTAGCAATATTCCAGCAACATCAAGGCGGGGGACACCAGAAATGGGCTTCACACATTGTATCCATGTGGGGATTCGAACCCGGGTCTTCAGCGTGACGAGCCAACGCTTTAACCACAAGGCTACCCCACCGCCCCACTATGAAAAGAAATCATCCCCATTCTGTACATAGAAATTATTGCACTTTTTGCATGAATCTTGGAATGGCAGAGAAAACCATTCATCTATTAGCCTGATATGCGGGTGATCTTAATTGTCACAATGTCACGGGGATGTAATTATTTCTGTCCTGTTTGTTTGTTTCTTGTTGAACGCCCAACTCAGCGATATTTCAAATATATGGCGGAATATTGTAACTACTCGAGTCTGGACCGGTTAGTCCAGTGATCAACATCATGAACCGAGAGAGCGAGAGACATTGATACATCGTGTATGTGCCGAATGCTGCTCCACCTGCACCTCGCCAGCAACAGCTGACCTCGGCCTGATAAACATATGTTTCTCAATGTGTCTATGTCAGTATAACATTCTGAATACCAATTTGTTGTCACTGTCACTGTAAACAAGGTGTTTTTCTCTTCTATTTGAATTAGTGTTTAGAGAGGTCAATGTTGGCTGATTATGGTTTGTTGTTTAACGCCGCACTCAGCTACGTTCCAGCTATATGGCGGCTATCTGTAAATAATCAAGCCTGGACCTGACAGTGATCAGCATTATGAACATCGATCTTTGCAATGGGGATACGATGACATGAGTCGACCAAGTCAGCCAGCCTGTCCACCCGATCCTGTTAGTCGCCTCCTACGACAAGCCGACAAACATGGGCTACTGAGGATCAATTCTAACCCGGACCTTCACGGGTGGAAGAAGTCAATGGGTGTTATCAGTAACAATTACACAACACATGCATTTCAGTTCTTGGAAGGCATTTAGAAGTTGGATGAACATGAATACATGTGAACGGTCACTTACTGTTTAGATACGTGTTCAAACTCAGTATACGTATGTGTAAAAGATTAAATCGTTTAGTTCGGAAACACAGGGAGTAAGTGTAGAACAGGGAAAGAATTGTAACCAGTATTGTTTATGTTGTTTCAAAGATTTTCTGAAAGTTGTTTTAATGGACATTTAGTTTCTTTGCCACTTTAATGCATCAACGTTCTCTTTTGGTTATGGTGACACATTATCTGAAATTCTTGTAAGCATACCAACACCGGGTGCGTGTTTTACAGACATTATAAACCTAAACCTATTTTTGTCCATTTTATTGAAGAGGTAGCTTAAAAGCTTGGAATAATCTCCATTTGGAGGTTTTATCAGGTGTACAACCCGGTAAGAGGTTTTACTTTTTGAAGAAAAAATAACACAATTCAAAAGATAATTTTTTTTATTTAATTATTAACTGCTTAAAGCTTCGGGTAACATGGACAGTTTTGTGCCAGTCAGTAGATGGGATTTCGGATTGTGGAACAAGCCTCTCCAACAGAACATCCTGGCTGTGGGTCGGTCTTTGTAACCATGGTTACGGTTGTTTGCGGGTGGACCTCGGCTGGTCTTGACTTTTCAGATGTCAGACACTGCAGCTTTCTGGTCGTCAGATAACCGTTTGTACACCCTTACTGCCTCACTGCGATGTCCTAGACAATAGAAATATTTGCTATTTACACACCTTCAACAAAGAGTTTTCAGTAAATTCTGTAGATTCCAAGATCATATCACATCCATGTTTCCGTTTTAACAAGAGATTAGAATCATTAAATATACTTTTTATTATGAGCCTTGTGGGAGCATTACTGACGTATATACCCTTCAAAACATATCACGTACCATAGACTACAAGTAACCAAAGATTTACAATAATGGACCCATAAATCAGCGAAAAGGCCGACATAGATTCTTACCTGTTTGTCGGGCTAAAGCCCTTTAGGTGTGTCATATACACAGAAACGTCTTTCACGTCAACAAAGGGCAATACGCGCCCAGCCGAGAGAACACTTACGGAAAAGGTCGAGTTCAACCGAATGCGACAAACCACACGAACACACAGCTACCGGAAAGGTAGACTTAAGTCATTGCTTGTGATTTTCGGCAAAGTAGATATTGTTATAATGACAACTGATACCATTTATTGTGTTTTGTCAACTGTTCATTATCTGATAGAAATGTACGAGTGTTAGTACGTCTTGAAATCTGTGATAATTGTAAGGGTAAGTTGTCTACTTCACAGGGGCTTGTAACACTAAAAACTGCCATCAAGGTATATACTACTGTACTAAGACCCCGTCAGTGACAGTATATACCTTCATGGCAGTTTTTAGCGTTAATAGTACTAAGACCCCGTCAGTGACAGCATATACCTTGATGGCAGTTTTTAGCGTTACAAGCCCCCGTGGTCTACTTTCGTTATCACTTTATGCGATATCTTCGCGATGGTGTTGTAACACGTAGTACTGGAGCTAAGTGGGTAAATCCAATTATACAAAGGTTTTGTCATTGACTGATTCATGGACTTGATTAATAGTGTTCAGGTGTAATTTCAATGAATGTATCCGCTCAATCGTTCCTCCTACGTACTGTGCTTTTAGCGATACCTAACTACTGCTGGCTGCGGGGTTTGCCGATCATATGCATTGTCAGTGTTTGAGGTTAAAGGCGAGTGAATAGACGTGGCGGTGCAGGTATGTCGGTCGAGAGTCCCTGTTAACCTGGTCCCGATACTGTATAGCAGTAACATTAGCCTGGATGACAATCGGCTGAGATCGACCATTGGCACGAATATGCTCCCAAGATTATTAAGTACATGCATGGTAAATAATATGGTAACTATGATGACGTAAATAAGATCTGACATTGACCTGTTCATTGATTTGTGTAATAGTCAATGTTCAGGTATAATTTCGGTGAGGGTGTCCATTCAATAATTCCCCTACTGTGTTTTGTGCGATACCTTACTTCTGTTGGCTAGGCGGCGTGTCGACCATGTGTAGATTCAGTGTTTGCCTTTGAGAAGGGTTGAGGTTAACGGTGACCGATTAGATTAAATATATGTACATGATCCAAGTCGTTTCGGTGCAGATATGTCGCTTGTGTTTTCCACACCTGAAGTGCATGTATCTGGCAGGAATGAAGGTTTGGGCATGTGCATGTACAGTCGAACCCCGTATACCCGGAAACCCCGGAAACTTGCCTTCAGTAATTGTACTCGCTTAGCCGGACGGTATCTGGCAGGAATAAAGGTTTTGACCGAACTTCCCTTATGATATACTGTTCTATAGAGACAGTAGGGAAAAATCCTGTGTATACCTCAATTGGGAACGGGAAGGCCAGTCCATGACGTCAACACCAGCGTTAGTAACAACAAGGTGGGGCTCGACGTTGTCATAGTAACATGTCAGTCCTGGATCATGTAGCTGCTTATATGGCAGAAGAACGTGGGTGAAGACCTGTCTCCGATACTGTGTGGCAGTAACATCCTGGACGACAAGCAGTTCAGATTGGCACCATTTGCACGAATATGCTCCCAAGATTACTACGGACTTGCATGGTAAATAATATGGTAACTATGGTAAGGTAAAAAAGGTGTCAGTGTACCCAGTCTGACTACTCGGGTACAGAGGCTCACATGCAGTTTACATATCACACACATTCACACACACACACACACACACACACACACACACACACACACACACACACACACACACACACAGATTCCTCTCTCTCTCTCTCTCTCTCTCTCTCGCTCTCTCTCTGTATGTATGTATATACAGTTAGATATATATAGAGAAAGACAGGTAGATAGACATCTGTTTATATTTAAAGTGTGTCTGTGTGTGTGAGTGTGTTTGTATACAGCTTCACATGCAGGTGCGTGTATGTTCAGATTTTCCGTTGCTGCTTATGGAATCTGTATTGAGTAAAGCGTAATTTATTTGTATTAAACTAAACAGGCACAAACTGCATGTGTATCTTACAGATGGCGACCGCCGGGCTAGAGAGGAAAGTAAAGGATAATTTCCTGACGTGCTCCATCTGCTTGGAGATGTACACAGACCCGTGTACACTGAGGTGTGATCACACATTCTGCAGGAAATGTGTCACCTCATACATCCAAACCAGACCAGATGCTGTACAGTCCAAGACCATCCCCTGTCCCAACTGTCGACAAGACACCAAGGTCCCCCACCCCAGCAGGCCGGTGGAGGAGTGGGCGGGGCAGATCAAACCCAGCATTGTGATACAGGGGCTGATTGACACCTATAGATCCGAGGTCGCTGTGCAAGGTAAAGTGAAAATATGATATGCGTGTGTGTATGTGTATGTGTGTATTTAAAACCAGTGGTAGACATAACATTGACATCTGTGTTGTGTTAAAAATACCCTGCTTTCTTTAGTAGCCTTTTCAAGTTGTGATGAAAATAAGTACGTTAACTTGTGTTTACAGAGACCTCAAGCACCTGTTGTACGATCTGTCAGCAGCTAGGGGAGACAACTCTAGGGGTCTTGTGGTGTCCTGAGTGTGAAGTGGCCCTCTGTGACAAATGTGTGAAGACACACCGGGTGACCCCTACTTTATTGAAACATGACCTATGTGACCTGTCATCTAGGTCAAAGGTCAAACGGAGGATCATGTGTACGGAACACAAGAGTAACCGTGTTGAGTTCCACTGTCAAGACTGTGGGAAGGCTGCCTGTCAGACATGTTGTATCATCTACCACAGAGCTTGTAAAACTGTCGTCACCATTGAGTCAATGAAGCCAAGGATGAAAGCAGCACTGATGGAGAAGAGACTTGGCATGGAGAAGAGACTGAAAGTGAGGTCGAAGAAAGTAGACATACGAAACGAGAAACTCGAAAGTAATTCTAGAATCACGAAGTCAGCTGTTCAAAATATTAGGTTGATCTGCCAGACAGCGATTAACAAGATTAAACAGAAAGAAACACAACTCTTGGATGAACTAAATAACACATCACAGACATACGTCGGCCAACTCCGAGCTGATGTGAAGCTGGAAGAGATCGAGATGCAGATGTACAGACAACATTGTGAGTTCATTCACCAGGCCTTGGTATCGGACTGTGAGATGGACCTATATGACGCGTATCAGGTCTGGGAGACTGGAGCTGTAGAGATGGAGGATGTCAGGGATACAGAGGCAGCAGAAACCCGGAGAATAGATGATGTCATCTTTACACCAGACACTGACAACGTCCTGAAGGCCCTAGATAACCTGCAGTTTGGGAAGATTGACGTCACATACCAGGATCAGGAGTAATGTGTGCCATCTTTAGTGCTGGTTGACACGATAGATAGGAGGATGGCGGATGATGATGTGGTGAGCTCTCCCTTTGGTTGCCTGACAGTCCTGGCTGTAGGTGATATACAGACATGTGTTGTCACTGACTGTTTGAACAACTGCCTGAAATCTTTGTACACTAGAGACAATCATCCATGCCATAGTAAACTTCCCCTGGATAACTCTCCACGTGGGATAACACAGTTGAAGCAGAAGCAGGTGATGGTTGCTGTCCCTGAATCCCGCCAGATTGTAACAGTAGAAGTGACCCCTGACTTGGTGCTGCTCTCAACCATCCTAACTAGCAATAGTTACTACAGTCTGGCTGTTCTGAACCTTTCATCTCTGGCAGCAGGTGGCGAGGATTGTCATGGTTACGGCATTGTTGAAATCCTGGACATTTCTGGACACGTGTTGAGTTCAATCAGTAAATACAATGATGTCTCACTGTTTGCCTACCCCTGGCACATCTGTGTCAACAACAAGGGCAACATACTCGTGTCTGACTGGGAATGTGAGTCTGTGACATGTCTGACACAAGAGGGAGATGTTGTGTGGAGACACGCCCCAGTGACAGTGCCATTGGTTGCGCCTCTGGTATCACAACTACCAGCACAGGAGACGTCCTGCTTGTAGACAGCCGCAATGACAAGGTGATACAGCTGACAGAGTCGGGGGAGTTTGTCAGTGAACTGCTCACGTTAGAAGATAGCGATGAAGCACGCATGTGCGATATATTCTGTGATAAATACGGTTTCTTTTTTCTATGCACAAAATCAGCAGTGAAAGAGTACATGTTTGTCTGACATAAAACAAAAGAATGAAAGTCAGTGCAAAGCTGTGGTTTCAGCGTTTGTCATTTTACTGCTCGTGATCTACTGTACGTGGGGTTAGTCTTGAAATGTTTGTGTCTTCACCAAAACGTATGGGCATAGCTTTGTCAGTGAATTGCAGACATGCATTATTATATTAGGTCATTTCCAGCATGAAGGGTAATAGTCCACAAGGTGAAAGATCACCAGCTGTTGTGGAGATTCCTTGGATGACCTGAGCTACACAACCACTACTTCATCTCAAACGTGTGCTGAACCAGCTGAAGTTCAAAGAAACCCCATGCATGGAACCCAGGAGACATGTATACATTGTCTAATGTATGGATGGACTAGGACCACAGGAACTCTGAAACTGTTGGTCAGTTTTCGGAGTTTCTTCCTCATAGAATATTCAGTATCAATATACACGATCTTCACCCAAACCTGATGATATAGCTTATATTGTCTAGTTGAGACATACCATATTCCCTTACAGGTCACTTCAAGCAATTAAATGGACGGCATGATGACTCGGTGAAACATATCAGTGGTGATAGTGGTTGTACCTACTCTTAGACAGGACAATATGATCTTAACATAGTATGATAATGCATACCACTTATGGTTAAAAGCGAGGCATGTGGTGAAAAGGAAACCTTACGTCTCTGCTCATGATCATGACTTGCGTGAAACGCTATCAACATAGAAAGGTGTATGGCATACGATCCAGTAGTCTGTCTCAGTGTCTGTGAACCACATTTTGTCCCCCTGTTGCTTAGCCAACCCTGTAATGCCAAAGCCATAAATGCACAAGTCTAGATTTCCTCAGGTCCAGGATCTCCCATCTCATCAGTGCTCCTTATCTAGTTAATGGACCAAAACTATTTACTTCACTTCATTCAATCTTGTGCTAGTTTATCACGAGTAAACCCAAGTATGGGGGGAAGATTGAGGCGTGCAGTGTTATCAAGTTTTTGCACGTGAAGGGTTGCACTTCTCGACAGATTCATGAGGAGATGAAATCTGTATATTGTGAAGATCTTATGAAACTGTTGTGAGATGGAAAAGGGATTTTCAAACAGGTCATATGTCCCTCACAGATGAGCCAAGAAGTGGACGACGATATCATTGAGGTCATGCAAGAGGTGGGGTTGGTTTTCCATGAAATCAGGGGTTCTATACAGGCGTCTGCACAAGGTCAAGAAATGTTGGGAGAACTCTGGATTGGGCCTATGTATATAGAAGTCTTAAGGACAAGAAATCAAGATAAAGTTTTTACCCTGAATACGTCTTGGTGATAATTAGAATTTTTTTTTATACCCTCTCGTAACTCAAGCATGTGCTATGTGGATTAATTGAGCACTGTTCAAGGATTCATGACATATAGGCTATAGTTTTCATTTGAAAACAGACATTAGACAGTGGGATAGTTACAATCCATTAGTGGGTTGTTTCGGGGATAAAGATTAAATTTACACTTCAGAGTTGGCTAGTTTATTTTACCCGGCGTTAAACCGAGGCAATATTTTCTTTCTCAATATTCGTTCACTTGTCTTCTGTCAATGTCGATGTAGATGGGAATCGCCTACAGAGCGTAAGGTATACACGTCATTAAATTCCTCCAAGAGCCTTTTGATTTATGTGATTCTTTAACAATAGTTTGACTTCATTTTGGGCGCATAACAGATGAGCTGCTTTGGATTATTTGCGTTTTCAAGGCAATATGTCGTCGACTTTCGTCAAAACGTGGAAACGTTTTTATTTCTTGAGCATGACATAAATTGTCTAATATTTATTCTGAAACTGAACAAAAGAAACAAGAAAAACATATCCATAATATTCTATTTGGCTTTGTTAAAAAAGAAGGCATTTGTGCTTTTTGTGTAACGGCACCAGGACAATAATAAGCTGACAATCCAAGCTGAGTTCAAGTTGTGATAATTATTCGTTTTCGATGATAGTTTCTGACTAAGGTTAGGTCGTTTTTCAGCCTGATTAGCAATGTGGCCCTTGACGTCTAGCGAGACTAGGCAAAACGGTTACATTCATGATCCGGATAAGGCGATGGAAATTTGCTTGAACTTTCATTGTTCAAGCACGGGCTGTGATCGTGTTGCACGTGCATTACAACTTTAACTGGGTAAAAAGTATTTTCATATGGCAAAAAGTAATGATATACGGATTTCTATGAAATACAGCAGGAGTTTCAGCTCCATCGCGTTTGTTGCATTTCAACTTTATGTTTGACATTATCAGATTATGTAGGAACAGAACAGTTGCATACATGAATGCTGAAACAGATAGTTTAGACAGCACATCCCGGGAGGTGATATCATGAACTCAATTTCTATTTGAAAACGAGGAATCATTTATGAGCATCATCAAAGACTGTTCACTAATGTTGGGGGAATATTTCTTCACTTTTTCGGTATTTCTTTAAGTGACCCAAAACAAATGCAAAACACTACAACTAAAACATACTGGAGAATGGTGGAGAATTTACAAGCGCAATGTATGACATTGAATAAGCTCTTCGTGGACTGATTTATGTCGGACACAACAGATATTAACAACATGAAACAGTCGGCAAGAAAAGACCATGGAAAGAAATGATCCCAATTTTATAACTAGAAATCATTGCACTCTTTGCATGAAATTTGGAATGGCATAGAAAACCATGAAATAGTCTGATATACTGGTTACCTTGAAAGATTGCCAATAAAGTTCAGTGGATTCGACCGTCATGTACACCGATGTCTTGTTGGTTTGTTGTTTAACGCTCAACTCTACAATATTCCAGCTCGATGTCGGATAACTGTAAATAATCGAGTCTAGACCAGACAATCCAGTGATCAACAGCATGAGCATCGATCTGCGCAATTGGGATACGATGACATGTTTCAACCAAGTCAGCGAGACTGATCACTCGATCCCGTTAGTCGCCTCTTACGACAAGCATGGGTTGCTGAAGATCAATTCTAACCCGGATCTTCACGGGTTGGGAAACAAAAAAACCAAAACAAGTAAGAATACTGTATCACTGAAAGACATAAGTGGATCTAAAATCGATATTTATCTGTGTGAAAAATACCTGTAGTCCTGACGCGTTCGTTATGTTCCATTTTCCATACACATATTTTCTTCTACTTTCGATGTGACATTTGACGTGTACATAAATAACATTACAGGGAAATAATTGAAGCCAGTGTTGTTTATACAATTTCCAACATTTTCTGAACGTTGTTTTCTTGACAATGTACATTTGATTTGTTTGGCATTTAAATACAAAATATGATACCGTGTTGCTGCAATGTGGATGCCCTGGATCAACGTTTCCTTTGGTTATATTGACATATTATCTGAATTTCTTGTAAGCCTACCAACACTGTGTGCGTGTCTACAGTCAGACAACAAAGGCCGATAAGCGCCCAGCGGACAGAACAGTTACGGAAAAGGGCGAGTTCAGCCGATTGCCACTAACCACGCGCGAACACACAGACACCGGAAAGGTAGGCTTCAGTCATTGCTTGTGATTTTCTGTAGCGTTGAACTTCATTTTGTCAAACTGACAACTGATACTTGCTATGGTGTTTCGACACACATACGAGTGTCAGTACGTCTTGGAATCAGTGAAACTTGAGGATGTAACGCGGATGGTCCCTCGATGGTGTTGTAACACGAGGGACTGGAGCTAACTGGGTAAATCCAATTATTCAAAGGTAATAACATTGACTGATTCGAGGAGTTGATTAAATTCAGGTGTAATTTCGATAAAGGTATCCGTTCACTCGTTCCTCCGACATGCATTGTGCGATAAGTTACAACTCGTGGTTGCTGGGCGTGTCGATCATGGGCATTGCAAATGTTTCCCTTTGAAAAGGGTTGAGGTTATCCGCGAGTGAATAGACAGAATATGTATGAGCCAAGCCGTAGCGGTGCAGATATGTGGGACGGTTGTGTTTTCCACGGCTAAAGTGCATGTATCTGACAGGAACGTAAGTTTTGGTCGATAGTCCCTGTTCATAAACTCTTCAATATGGACAGACAGAGATTGTTATCTGTATAACTTAAAGGCCTGTCAATAACATCAACATCGACTTTACGCAAGATGCTACGCCTCATTGGGCTTAGAGTTGTCATGTTGAAATGTATGTACAGGACCATGTAACTGCATGAACGGCAGAATACCTGGGGTCAGTTCTTCTTCCCCATACTGCATGGCAGTAAGATTAGATTCAGTTGAGGATTACTGTTGGCGCGAAATTTCCCCCAAACCATTACGCTTCCTCATCCAAATCGTCAACCTCACGAACACAATGTTGTGTTTAAGGAGACATAACCTTTTATCCGAGTGGACAACTGAGATGTTAAACTAACTTTCATGTGGTGTCAGTAAGACATCAATAGGAACACATTTCCTGTAACTTGCTTATCTCAACCGGTATCTACATACATACATACATGCATGCATGCATGCATGCATACATACATACATACATACATACATACATACATACATACATACATACATACGTACATACATACATACATACATACATACATACGTACGTACATACATACATACATACATACATACATACATGACATTAACATGACATCAACACCAGCGTTAGTAATAACAGGGTGGGGCTCGACGTTGTCATAGTAACATGTCAGTACAGGATCATGTAGCTGCATATATGGCCGAAGATGATGGGTGAAAACCTGACCCCCGATACTGTATGGTAGTAACATATTCCTGGACGACAATCGGCTGACATTGGCACCATTGGCACGAATACGTTCCCAAAATTATTACGGACTTGCATGGTAAAAAATAAGGTCAATAAGATAATAATAATAATAATAATGTCACTTATAAAGCGCAAATGTCCACACACTTATGAATGCTCAATGCGCTGAAAAGAATTGAGTAAAAGAGTCAGTCATAGGCACTTTTAAACAGGTGAGTTTTAACTTTTGACTTGAAGGTTGAGAGAGATTCACATAATTTGATTTCTAAAGGTAAAGAGTTCCAAAGGGTTGGTGCAACATAGGAGAAAGCCCTTTTCCCATATGAAACTAGATGGAATTGGGGAACTTGTAGTAGATTCTGGGACCGGAGTGATCTTGATGGAATGTATTCTGAGATGTCAGTGTTCCCAGTCTGACTGCTGAGATATAGATAGATAGATAGATATCCGTTTATATTTACTATGTGTCTGTGTGTGTGCGCGTGTTCGTGTACAGCTTCACATACAGTTGGGCGTATGTTCAGATCAATCATTGCTGCTTGTACTGAATCTAATTAATTTCTATTAAACTAAAAAGGCACGAACTGCATGTGTATCTTACAGATGGCGACCGCCGGTCTAGAGAAGAAAGTAAAGGATAATTTCCTTACGTGCTCCATCTGCTTCGAGATGTACACAGACCCGTGCACACTGAGGTGTGATCACACATTCTGCAGGAAATGTGTCACCTCATACATCCAAACCAGACCTGATGCTGTACAGTCCAAGACCATCCCCTGTCCCAACTGTCGACAAGACACCAAGGTCCCCAACCCCAGCAGTCCGGTGGAGGAGTGGGCGGGGCAGATCAAACCCAGCATCACTATACAGGGGCTGATTGACACCTATAGATCTGAGGTGGCTGTGCCAGGTAGAGTGAAAATATGATATGCGTGTGTGCGTGTGCGTGTGCCTGCGTGTGTATTGATTTAAAACCAGTGGAAGACATAACATTGACATCTGTGTGTGTTAAAAATACCCTACTTCCTTTCGTAGCCTTTTTAAATTGCGATGAAAATAAGCACATATGTACTTGTGTTTACAGGAACTTCAAGCACCTGTTGTACGATCTGTCAGCAACTAGGGGAGACAACTCCAGGGGTCTTGTGGTGTCCTGAGTGTGAAGTGGTCCTCTGCGACAAATGTGTGAAGACACACCGGGTGACCCCTATTTCACTGAACCATGACCTGTGTGACCTGTCGTGTAGGTCAAAGGTGAAACGGAGGATCAAGTGTACGGAACACAAGAGTAACCGTGTTGAGTTCCACTGTCAAGACTGTGGGAAGGCTGCCTGTCAGACATGTTGTATCATCTACCACAGAGCTTGTAAGGCTGTCGTCACCATTGAGTCTATGAAGCCAAGGATGAAGGCAGCACTGATGGAGAAGAAACTTGGCATGGAGAAGAGACTGAAAGTGAGGTCGAAGAAAGTAGACATACGAAACGAGAAGCTCCTAAGTAGTTCTAGAATCACGAAGTCAGCTGTTCAAAATATAAGATTGATCTGCCAGACAGCCATTAACAAGATTAAACAGAAAGAAACACAACTCTTGGAAGAACTGAATAACATATTACGGACATACGCCGACCAACTCCGAGCTGATGTGAAACTGGAAGAGATCGAGATGCAGATGTACAGACAACATTGTGAGTTTATTTACCAGGCCTTGGTATCGGACTGTGAGATGGACCTATATGACGCGTATCAGGTCTGGGAGTCTGGAGCTGTAGAGATGGAGGATGTCAGAGGTACAGAGGCAGCAGACACCCGGAGAATAGATGACGTCATCTTTACACCAGACACTGACAATGTCCTTAAGGCCCTAGATAACCTACAGTTGGGGAAGATTGACGTCACATACAGGGATCAGGAGCGATGTGTGCCATCTCTAGTGCTGGTTGACACGATGGATAGGAGGATGGCGGATGATGATAAGGTGAGCCCTCCCTTAGGTTGGCTGACAGTCCTGGCTGTAGGTGATATACAGACATGTGTTGTCACTGACTGTTTGAACAACTGCCTGAAATCTTTGTACACTAGAGACAATCATCCATGCCATAGTAAACTTCCCCTGGATAACTCTCCACGTGGGATAACACAGTTGAAGCAGAAGCAGGTGATGGTTGCTGTCCCTGAATCCCGCCAGATTGTAACAGTAGAAGTGACCCCTGACTTGGTGCTGCTCTCAACCATCCTAACTAGCAATAGTTACTACAGTCTGGCTGTTCTGAACCTTTCATCTCTGGCAGCAGGTGGCGAGGATTGTCATGGTTACGGCATTGTTGAAATCCTTGACATGTCTGGACACGTGTTGAGGTCAATCACTACACACAATGATGCCCCACTGTTTGCCTACCCCTGGTACATGTGTGTCAACAACAAGGGCAACATACTCGTGTCTGACTGGGAACGTGAGTCTGTGACATGTCTGACACAAGAGGGAGATGTTGTGTGGAGACACGCCCCTACCGGTCACAATGCCATTGGTTGCGCCTATGGTATCACAACTACAAGCACAGGAGACATCCTGCTTGTAGACGGGAACACTGACAAGGTGATACAGCTGACAGAGTCGGGGGAGTATGTCAGGCAGCTCCTCACGCTAGAAGATGGCGATGAGACAGGCATGTGCGATATATTCTGTGATAAATACGGTTTCTTATTTCTATGCACAGACACGGCATTGAAAGAGTACGTATTTGTCTGACATAAAAATCAAGAGAATGAGAGTCAGTGCAGAGCTGTGGTTTATGACATTCTGTACATGGGGTTAGTCTGGAAATGTCTGTGTCTTCACCAAAACGTATGGGCATAGCTTTGTCAGTGAATTGCAGACATGCAATATTCAAATGAAGGGAAATAATCTACATGATCACCAGGTGAAACACACCAGCTGTTGTGGAGATTCCTGGGATGACCTGAGCTACACAACCACTACTTCATCTCAACAGTGTGTTGAACCAGCTGAAGTTCAAAGAAACCCCATGCATGAAACCCAGGAGACATATATACACAGACTAATGTATGGATGGACTAGGCCACCGGAACTCTGAAACTGTTGGTCAGTTTTCGGAGTTTCTTCCTCATAGAATATTCAGTATCACTATACACGATGTTCACCCAACCCTGATGATATAGCTTATATTGTCTAGTTGAGACATACCATATTCCCTTACAGGTCACTTCCAGCAATTAAATGGACCGCATGATGACTCGGTGAAACACATCAGTGGTGATAGTGGTTGAACCTACTCTTAGACAGGACAATATGATCTTAACATAGTATGATAATGCATACCACTTATGGTTAAAAGCCGAGGCATGTGGTGAAAAGGAAACATTACGTCTCTGCTCATGACTTGCGTGAAACGCTATCAACATAGAAAGGTGTATGGCATACGATCCAGTAGTCTGTCTCAGTGTCTGTGAACCACATTTTGTCCCCCTGTTGCTTAGCCAACCCTGTAATGCCAAAGCCATAAATGCACAAGTCTAGATTTCCTCAGGTCCAGGATCTCCCATCTCATCAGTGGTCCATATCTAGTTAATGGACCAAAAACTATTTACTTCACTTCATTCAACCTCGTGCTAGTTTATCACGAGTAAACCCAAGTATGGAGAAGATTGAGGCGCGCAGTGTTATCAAGTTTTTGCACTTGAAGGGTTGCACTTCTCGACAGATTCACGAGGAGATGAAATCTGTATATTGTGAAGATCTTATGAAACTGTTGTGAGATGGAAAAGGGATTTTCAAACAGGTCATATGTCCCTCACAGATGAGCCAAGAAGTGGACGCCGTTTTGACGATAACATTGAGGTCATTCAAGAGGTGGGGTTGGTTTTCCATGAAATCAGGGGTTCTATACAGGCGTCTGCACAAGGTCAAGAAATGTTAGGAGAACTCTGGATTGGGCCTGTGTATATAGAAGTCTTAAGGACAAGAAATCAAGATAAAGTTTTTACCCTGAATACGTCTTGGTGATAATTAGAATTTTTTTATACCCTCTCGTAACTCAAGCATGTGCTATGTGGATTAATTGAGCACTGTTCAAGGATTCATGATATATAGGCTATAGTTTTCATTTGAAAACAGACATTAGACAGTGGGATAGTTACAATCCATTAGTGGGTTGTTTCGGGGATAAAGATTAAATTTACACTTCAGAGTTGGCTAGTTTATTTGACCCGGCGTTAAACCGAGGCAACATTTTCTTTCTCAATATTCGTTCACTTGTCTTCTGTCAATGTCGATGTAGATGGGAATCGCCTACAGAGCGTAAGGTATACACGTCATTAAATTCCTCCAAGAGCCTTTTGATTTATGTGATTCTTTAACAATAGTTTGACTTCATTTCCGGAGCATAACAGATGAGCTGCTTTGGATTATTTGCGTTTTCAAGGCAATATGTCGTCGACTTTCGTCAAAACGTGGAAACGTTTTTATTTCTTGAGCATGAATTAATTGTCTAATATTCATTGTGAAACTGAACAAAAGAATCAAGAAAAACATATCCATAATATTCTATTTGGCTTTGTTAAAAAGAAGGCATTTGTGCTTTTTGTGTAACGGCCCCAGGACAATAATCAGCTGACAATCCAAGCTGAGTTCAAGTTGTGATAATTATTCGTTTTCGATGATAGTTTCTGACTAAGGTTAGGACGTTTTTCAGCCTGATTAGCAACGTGGTCCTTGACGTCTAGCGAGACTAGGCAAAACGGTTACATTCATGATCCGGATAAGGCGATGGAAATTTGCTTGAACTTTCATTGTTCAAGCACGGGCTGTGATTGTGTTGCACGTGCATTACAACTTTAACTGGGTAAAAAGTATTTTCATATGGAAAAAGTAATAATATACGGATTTCTATGAAATACAGCAGGAGTTTCAGCTCCATCGCGTTTGTTGTTTGATATTATCAGATTATGTAGGAACAGAACAGTTGCATACAGGATACTTTAGACAGCACATCCCGGGAGGTGATATCATGAACTCAATTTCTATTTGAAAACGAGGAATCATTTATGAGCATCATCAAACACTGTTCACTAATGTTGGGGGAATATTTCTTCACTTTTTCGGTATTTCTTTAAGTGACCCAAAACAAATGCAAAACACTACAACTAAAACATACTGGAGAATGGTGGAGAATTTACAAGCGCAATGCATGGCATCGAATACGCTCTTCGTGGACTGATTTATGTCGGACACAACAGATATTAACAACATGAAACAGTCGGCAAGAAAAGACCATGGAAAGAAATAATCCCCATTTTATAACTAGAAATCATTGCACTCTTCGTATGAAACTTGGAATGGCATAGAAACCCATTCATGAAATATGATACACTGGTTATCTTGAAAGATGACCAATGAAATTCAGTGTACTCTACTGTCATGTACACCGGTGTCATGGAGATGCAATTACTTTTGTCTTGTTTGTTTCTTGTTTAACGCTCAACTCAGCGATATTCAAACTATATAGCGGAATACTGTAAATAATCGTATCTGGACCAGACAATCCAGTGATCAACATCATGAGCATCGGTCTAAACAGCTGGGATTCGATGACATGTGTCAATCAAGTCAGCGAGCTTGAGCACCAGATCCCGCTAGTTCCCTCTTACGACAAGCATGGATTATTGAAGATCAGTTCTTACCCGGAACTCACGGCTCGGCTTAAGTGAGACAAAGCATGCTTCTAACAAACCATAAGAAAATGTAAGAATACAGGTATAAATATAAAGGTCCTACAGTCCAAGTCTTATAACCCAGGTAGTGAAGTGTAAGTATGTAAGTATGACTACCCACCATGGTGAGACGTTTGCTAACTCTCCTGCTGAGAGGAGAATGAGGTGACAATGTACCCACCTAGTGAGATTGGACTGTTTGACTGATTGACATGTGCCAACCATGCTAGCCTGACCACCCGATCCCGTTATTTGCCTCTTAGGACAAGCATGGGTTCCTGAAGACCACTTCTAGCCCGGATCTTCATGGGGTTGTAATTACTAGACAGGACGCCCGGTGTCCTACCTAACTGGCAACGACTATGTGTTGAATATATAAAGTCTGAGGGAAAACTATTCATTTGAAAGATGTCTGGTCTCTCGTTCCGGAAACAAAGAGACTGCGCAGAGTAAGAATACTGTGTCACAGAGAAACATTAGTGGATCTAAAATCAATATTTTACCTGTGTGAAACATACCTGAAGTCCTGACGAGTTCGTTACATTCCATTTTCCATACACAGAAAATAACACATAACTGCAGCAGGATATATTTTTTCTACTTTCGATAAGACATTTGACGTGTGCATAAATTCCATGACAGGGAAATAATTGAAGCCAGTGTTGTTTATACTGTTTCCAACATTTTCTGAAAGTTATTTTCTTGACGATGTACATTTAGTGTGTTTGGCATTTAAATGAAAATATGATACTGTGTTGCTCCCGTGTGGATGCCCTGTATCAATGTTTCCTTAATTTATGTTTACAAATTATCTGAATTTCCTACCAACACCGGGTGCGTGTTTTACAGAGAGTCAATAAAGACCAATCACCGCCCAGCCGACAGAACATTTACGGAAAACGGCGAGTTCAACCGATTGTGACGAAACACGCCCGAACACCAGCCGGCGGAAAGGTAGACTAAGTCATTGCTTGTCATTTTCTGTGAACTACGTTTTGTCAAGCTGATACCTGATACCGGTTATTGTGTTTTGTCAAATGTTTTTGATGATCTGACAGATTCTGAATATACGAGTGTCAGTACGTCTTGAAGTCAGTGATACTTGAGCATTTAACGCGGAAGTTGTCTACTTTCGTTATCACTTTAAACGATGGCCCCTCGATGGGGTTGTAACATGTAGGACTGGAGCTTAGTGGGTAAATCCAATTATACAAAGGTATTGTCATTGACTTATTCATGGACTTGATTAATAGTGTTCAGGTGTAATTTCGATGAACGTATCCGTTCACTCGATCGTTCCTCCGACTGTGCTTTTTGCGATACCTTACTACTGATGGCTGCGGGGCGTGTCGAGCATGTGTAGTGTTAGTGTTTCCCTTAGAAGAGGGTTGAGGTTATCCACGAGTGAATAGACAACATGTATAGTCGTGGCGGTGCAGGTATGTCGGTTGTGTTCTCCACGCCTGAAGTGCATGTATCTGGCAGGAACATAGGTTTGGGTCGAGAGTCACCGTTTATATACTGTTCAATGTGGACAGTCAGAGATTGTTATATGTAGAACTTAAAGGCCTGTCAATAACATCAACATCGACTTTACGCAAGATGCTACGCCTCATTAGACTTGGAGTTGAAATGTCTGTCCAGGACCATGTATCTGCATGAACGGCAGAATACCCAGGGTCAGTTCTTCCTCTCCATACTGTATGGTAGTAAGATTATAGTCCGTTTGGCTCAAAAGCGGACTGATGAATTGCAATCAAACTCGAAAACTAATAAACATATAATACTCAACGAAACGCTGATCATAATCAAAACATCAGACCTACCCTGTGATTTGTTTGCAGAATTTATGTTCTAACATTAAAAAAGTTGTTTAACAAACTATCATGAAAATTTTGACATAGTTCACCATTTGTTACGAGGGAAGAGTGCAGAGAAAGGGACAGCCAGGTGTTAGAGAATCACGTGTACAAATGCCGACAACGTTATTGATTCATTAACTTGTGCTGTGCCGTCTCCATCCTTTAAATTTCTCGCATACCTGGCTGTCCCTTTCTCTGCACTCGTCCCTCGTAACATATAGTGAATTGTGTCGATATTTTAATGATAGTTTGTTAAACAACTTTTTTAATTTTGGGACATAAATTCTGCAAACAAATCACAGAGTAGGTCTGATGTTTTGATTGTGATCAGCGTTTCATTGAGTATAATATGTTTATTAGTTTTCGAGTTAGATTGCAATTCATCGGTCTGCTTTTGAGCCAAACAGACTAATAATACATTCAGTTAAGGTTTAATGTCGGCGCGAAATGCCCCCAAACCAATACGCATTCTTATCCAAATCGTCAGCATCACAAACACATCATAGTGTTAGAACACAATGTTGTGTTACCGATTGTTTAAGGAGACATAACCTGAGATGTTAAACTAGCTTTTATGTGGTGTGAGTAAGACATCATTTGGAACACATTTCCTGTAACTTTCTTATCTGCACCAGTATTGTTGAGGTTTTAAAAGTAAAGGGAAGTAACTCTTGTCCATTACGTCGTCTGTTTGCTGTCAACATATTTATTCTTAATCTGAATAATAAATGTCGGGAAAATGTCAGCGTTTCCTCGGAGCGGTCTGACAGCTTGGATACATAAGGACATACTCTGGCACATGCTACAGATCACACCGTACACATGCCTACATTCATGCATGCATCATATGTATGTATGTGCGCGCGCGTGCGTTCGTATTCGGCTTCGCATGCAAATGCTTGTGTGTTCAGATGTATCATTGCTGCTTATGGAATCTGTAGTGAGTAAAATGTAATCTATTTGTACTAAAATAAAAAGACACAAACAGCATGTGTATCTTACAGATGGCGACCGCCGGGCTGGAGAAAAAAGTAAAAGATAATTTCCTGACTTGCTCCATCTGCTTCGAGATGTACACAGACCCATGTACACTGAGGTGTGATCACACATTCTGCAGGAAATGTGTCACCTCATACATCCAAACCAGACCTGATGCTGTACAGTCCAAGACCATCCCCTGTCCCTGCTGTCGACAAGACACCAAGGTCCCCAACCCCAGGAGGCCGGTGGAGGAGTGGGCGAGGCAGATCAAACCCAGCATCATTATACAGAAGTTGACTGACAAACCAGGTTAAGTGAAATCTAAATGGTCAAGCAGTGTTATTATTTATATATTGATTTAATTTGATCAAAACAGATCATATGTCATGTGACATGAGGTGTTGGGTAATTTGAGGAAGATTAAACTTATAAATTCTGTTTATAAAATATTTCATGAATAGAAAATTGCGCTAACGTGTAACAGTAAAAATTTATAGATCAAATTTAGAAAATAAAGTGTGTTAAGGAGAAAACGTATGCCTCACTAGTAAGTTACAAACTGACACAGGGTAAACGTAACTGCTGTCAGATTGATCACGTATATCATTAATATATTAACAGTAAATAAATGTTATATAAACTGAACTGTGTTATATTTACTGAACTGAAATAGATTTCATTTGTCAAGTGTCTCCACTTGTTCCTAAAAATATCTTAGAATAATAATTCTTTGTTGAATTATTTTTGCAGTGTTGACAAATAACTGCTGCACAATCTGTCAGCAACTAGGGGAGATAACTTCAGGGAATCTGTGGTGTCCAGAATGCAAAGTGGTCCTCTGCGAAAGATGCGTGAAGATACATTGGGTCAGCCCTATGTCAAGTGACCATGACCTCTTTGAAATTGAAACCAAGCAAAAGGGGGGAAAGGGCGAAAGCGACGAGCCAATTCCAGAAAGGGAGAAGGTCCACAATAAAAACCCGAAGGTGTAATCTGAAGGCACCAAGCTAGTTAACACCATTGATACCAGGAAGATCTGGGGCAAGATCTTATTTAATATCCGTGCCATCGCAGTCCTCGTCGTAGATGGTGTACAGGCAGTTGTAGTCGCTGACGGGGACAATAACTGTATAACATCGTTTTACTCCAGAAACAACACGTGGCGTTGCACTTCACGTCGTCTGAAGGAATCTCCGTGGGGAGTAACCCAGGTGGAGAAGAAGCAGGTACTTGTTGCTGTCCCCGAATCATGCCAGATACTGAAAGTGGCTGTCACCCCGGACCTAGTGCCACTCTCAACCATCACAACACGTATCGGGTACTACTGTCTGGCTGTACTGAGTCCGTCATCGCTTGCAGCAAGTACAGACTATTGCGTTGATATCCTGGATATGTCGGGACTGGTGTTGAGGTCAGTTACAACACACAACAATATGCAGCTCTTCAGCTACCCCGATTACATCTACGTCAACAACAAAGGCAACATACTTGTGTCTGACTGGGGGGAGAAGTCTGTGACATGTCTGACGTCTGAGGGGGATGTTGTGTGGAGATACGCCCCAGAAGGAGACAGAGCGCTTGGCATTCCGCAGGGAATTACCACGACCAGGACGGGAGACATTCTAGTGGTCAACAGTAACTCTAATACCATCATACAGCTGACAGAGACGGGAGAGTTTGTCAGAGATCTTCTCACTTCAGAAGATAATGTATCTGCCCTGAAGAGTATTTTCTGTCATTCACGCGGATCCTTCTTTATATGTTGTAACGCAGAGGTGAAGGAGTACAAATTTTAGTTGATTTTAACTCGTGCTGTCGGTGAACCCATTTTACTCAAATCCATTGCTGTCAGGGCAATGATGAGAGCCCTCCGCAGTATAGAGGTGAGCTGCATTCTGACTTCTGGTCGTCTGACCCGTACCCTCGTACCCCAGAGGCCTGATGAAAATCTGCACCCCACACGGTCACCCATCCAGGACCTCTCCGTGACCAACGTTCCTTAACTTCATCTTTTTTGTGACCTGGGCTCTATGCCCATGAAATTGTGTATATGCCAATATAAATTGGTTAGTGCAAAAACTATATTTCGACACAATTATTTGTAAATTTGTGGTTGTTAATTTTGCAATTTCAGTGTATTCATATTTCATTTGAATTAAATATTGAATATATTATGTACTATGAAACTTGTACATTTTCTGAATTTATAGAAAGCTATTGTTTATTTTAGTTTTCTGAACCTCATCAACGTATCAACTATACTCAACTCAAAGCAACTAATATTCATCTGTGTAATCCTCAGTCGCAGCCATGTACAATGAACTCTAAAAGCTAATGTTAATAGTATTACAATAAACCCTGTTGATGCGAGTATCAGCTTCTGTGTTCTTGCATTAACAATTGTAGTGAACAAGTTAGACTAACGCTTAATCTCTGAATATATATAATTTTGGTTGTAACAAATAAACCCATTTAAACTGAAAACGACCCCCAGTGAGTCAAGAGATTTAGAACCTGGGGCATGGTGGGCGATCTGGCTAAGGCGCCAGGCTAGTGATCCAGAGAGCTTGAGGTGTCGGGATCAAGCCTGTGATCGGGTGTGGAAACCTTGGAGACAACCTTGTGTGTAGACTCTTTCAGTGTTGTAACAACCCCTAGTGTACAGTAGACACAACCCTGTGCATGGGTGGATCCAGGAATTTTGAAAGGGACGGGTTCCCCACCGCCTGAACCCCCCTTGGCTCCGCCAACGCAATTTTTATTTTGTTAATGTGGTCTTAAGTCACTTTCAAAAGGGGGGGATCGACCCCCATGAAACACACACACACACACACACACACACACACACACACACACACACACACACACACACACAAACACACACACACAAACACACACAAACACACACAAACAAACACACACACACACACACACACAAACAAACAAACGAAACAATAAAAGAATCCACGAATCGTTGGTATATGACCAGATGGTGGCGACATGAATACGTGCAAACACCTAGTTGCGGGTACAACAACGTGCAGTAAACTTGGACAAAGTACTGGGAAAGAGTTCCTTCCGTTCCCCCAACCCTAAACCTAACACGAAACCTAACTCTAAACCTAACCCGAAACCTAACCCTAACGTAAATTTTGGACTTTTAGTCATTTTGTGAGTTTTCTAGTAATTGTTGTGTTAAGTTTTGTTAATAATTTTAGTATATCTATAAATATTATTTGGGATGGGGGAACGGGATGAACTCTTACCAAGTACTGTGACTGTGTCCCAGTCCACCCAGCTGTCAGTGGGTACCTCGTAAGGATGAGAAAGCCGCAATAACTCGGTGCGCCTAGTGGCTGCAAGAGTTGTATGCTCCCCGGAGACTTGAGATTGATAATACGATGTGCCGTGGAGATTGACATCCATTGATATCGAGGGGGAAAATATCAACGCCTTGAGCATGTACTAATTGCGTGGATATGTGCGCTAAATAAATATCCTATAATAAAATAACCTGGGGAAATCTAGACTTGCTTCATTTAGGGCCTTAACATTGCAGCGAGGGCTAGGCTGTAGGGACAATAATGTGGTTCAGGGACTGTCAGACAGACTATGAACACGTGAATAAGTGACTGAGTAAGTCATTCGCAGAAAACTAGTAAGTAACGTTCTTGATATTAATATTTGATACTCTCAGTCTGGCTTTAAACCAGACAGATATATACATGTACTACAACTTGAATTATATTTACAGAGGACAAGGTTTGGTGAATTTTGTTTAGAAACTAGTTTTCTATAGCCCCAGTCATAGGTGGTTGGAGCTTTCGGAGGTTTTTTCGGAAGCTAATAATGAATTGTTACTTTACCTAGTGTACCTTCAATTTTTGTTTTAGTTAAAAATCAGATTCTAAACATTGCCCATCTTGATATTAATATTTGATACTCTGGCTTTAAACCAGACAGATGTTGTTACTAGTTGAGTTATATTTACAGAGGACAGGTTTTGGTGAAGTTAGTTTGGAAACGAGCTTCCTATGTCCCTTGTCATAAGTGGTTGGAGCCTTTGGTTTGTTTTTTCGGAAGCTAATAATGAATTGTTACTTTACCTAGTGTACCTTCAATTTTTGTTTTAGTTAAAAATCAGATTCTAAACATTGCCCATCAAATACTGAAGTACTTATGCTGGGCACACATTTCATCTACGTGGATAACATAGGAAATACCCAACATGTTATACAAAGTAAAAATATATTGTAATACCTCTCAAGGACAACATTCAGGGAACATAAATCAACGCATTCCAAAGCCTTTATTTATATGAGCCTCAATATGCAAATTTGTTTAAGCTCTAATTTTAAGCTGCACCAAAAGTGTGTGTGTGTGTGTGTGTGTGTGTGCGCGTGCGCGCACTACCCATCAAAAGTTTAGACTCACTCTCTCTCTCTGTATGTATATATATATATATATATATATATATATATATATGTATATATGTGTGTGTGTATGTTTATGTGTGTATGTATTGATATATATGTGTGTGTGTGTGTGTGTGTGTGTGTGTGTGTGTGTGTGTGTGTGTGATATTACAAAATTTGATGTACAATAATTGTATTTTCACACGTCACTCATGTTTTGTAAACAAATGCCGCCACTGCAACTTGATGCGGCACGTGCAGTAAGTGACAGTGATTGCCCGATACGTGGTGTAGAGACGGGTGTCAGATGAGCAAGTTCACTTACAAGAAATGGATGGACATTCATGAACTTTTTATGTATTGTGGTATTGTTTTGTTTCTACAGTTATGAATTATCATGAAAAGACACTCACGGACGTATGAAACAACATATGTGTTGCCGGAAATTCGGTAAAGACGAGATTCAGTCGCAGAAGAAGGTGTTAGTAACGTGCTTGATATTAATATTTGATACTCTCAGTCTGGCTTTAAACCAGACAGATATATACATGTACTACAACTTGAATTATATTTACAGAGGACAAGGTTTGGTGAATTTTGTTTAGAAACGAGTTTTCTATAGCCCCAGTCATAGGTGGTTGGAGCTTTCGGAGGTTTTTTGGGTGTTTCTAATGAATTGTTATTTTACCAACTTTACCTTTTTTCATGTTTTTGTAAAAACCCAGGTACTAAACATTGCCCATCAAATACTGAATTACCTATGGTTGGCACACATTTCATCTACTTGGTTAAGCATAGAAAATACCCAA